CGTACAAAAATGTATAGATAAATATAAAAAGAAAAATAATTAATTTCAAGTAATAATAATATATGATTTAAAGGAATAATAATCTTAAATCAACAAGAACGAAATATATATAAATAATAAAATTTAACTGAATTAAATAATAATTAATTAAAGAACAATAATAACAGGCTATACCTAATTATATTAAAGTTAATATTAATTAAAATATATAATTCAACGTATATTATTAATATTATCAAAATAAATATTAATAAAAATAAAAATAATAGGTTATACTTCATGTACTTTATTGGCCGGCTCGATGGCCGGGTTTTATTTATTAAAATAATTGAAAATTGAAAACAATTTTGTTTTATTATTATTTATGCTATACACGTCTGCGCTTCTTGACATGGTCGACACTTTTTTTTTGAATAAATTATATTTAGTCCTCGAGCCAGCCAATTAAATAATTAAAAAAAGGAAGAGTCGCTAAAATCAGCATTATATAATTTATACATTTACATAATTCAAAGTAATAATAATAAGAATGGGTTATAGAAAACCTGAACTAAAAAAAATAAATGAAAATATATAATTCAAAGCAATAATACTAAATCTTAAATCAGAATAAATATTAATAATAACATATAATTTAAAATAATAATTATAATAATAGGCTACTCTAAATCGTAAAGCAACAGCTTTAATCTGTAAAAAGAAAAAACAAAGTACAACTAAGCTGCTTCTCTTTTGTCCTTTGCTAACCTCGTAAAATGTAATAACTATTAATATCAAAATGATATGCTAAGAAATTGAGGCCCAATTTCAAAATAATAATAATAATAATAATAACAATAATAATAATAATAAAGTTTCACAAAATGGCAGCCCCATGTAAATGTGTTTTTGACATATTTTTGATACCATCTACGCTTTCTCGTCTTTAATTAAATTACCTCAAATCACTAAATAATATATTCTTAACTTATTTATTAAAAGGGATTCATCAAAAAACTGTTGAATAACTGGACCTACAGAAACCTTTAATAGATCTATCCACATATATATTTTTTGCTTGATATTGATATTTATTAGCATTATAAATTCTCACTAATTTATCAAATATATGTATTTGATAATCCGAGAGGATTCTCTCAGTACACGCGGCTTTATTCTCACGCCTCACACACGGCGCATTTTATTCATAAATGTTTTTCTTTTAATAATGTTTTTTAAGGCCAGCTCTTCTAGCGCTTAATTATGCCACGCCTAATGCGGAAGGCATTACGCTTACATTTCGCATTTTTCTTTGAGCTCGAGTTAGACATCGCATTTATGAGGTCGGCCGTTGTCAGAGAAAAGTTGCCATTTTTCCTAGATTTTTTTGCCCCCTATTTTGTATTCCTTTTTACGCCTCGCCTCGCATCTGTCTCGTGCTGCTTTGCTTCTTTTTTTTTTTTTGCTATATTGCAAGTCCCCTTGGACTTTTATTGACACTGATAAGTGTACCCAGAGCACAGCAAAAGGTAAGCAAAGCTGGCAATTTAAATTGAAATTGTTTGCCGCAACGCAACAGCAGCACACACACAAAAAAAATATGTAGGAAAGGGGGAAAACGCTGGAGAAAAAAATCGGAGGAGAAAAAATGCCAGTTGCCCAGAGAAAAATTAAGTGAGACAAAGTGTTTTGTGACAATGCAGCAGCAGCAGCAGAAACAGCAGCAGCAGCAAATGCAAGCCCAGCCAACCTCTAGACCCACCCAACTGAGCAAGGATTCGAGGAGTTTCGGGGGGTTCGGGGGTGTGCAGTGCGTGTTAATTCCCTTTGGGCAACAGTTTTATTGACTGACCACATACAACGTGGAGATCCATTCAGATGCGAATCGATGCCTTCGATATGCGTGTCCTGATTGTTTTGTTTAACATGCAGCTGCCTCTACCGTAATAGCAATTGAGTGGTAAAAGATCTGCCCGAACATACGCACACAAACTCGCCAATATATATACGCATTGAGTTGTTATCCAATTTGGGCTATTGCCAGCACTTCATGTATGAACAGAGCTCTGGATAAATACACGAGAATGCCATTGCATTTTTTCAACTGTCTGAATGCGTCATAAGATTTTTTTAAATTGGCTCAGCTGTGGGTTTTTTTTTCAAACAGATTGCCCAGGGAAGTTATTTTAAAATCTGGTTAAAATGCAGACGCAAAATATTGGTCGGTAGTACGTTAAAAGCTCTAATGAATTGTCTCAACTTTCTTTTGAGCCTACATTCATAAAAAAATGTATTATTTGCCTATATTTACAAAAATGACGTGCTTTAAATTCTGATTCCAACCAAATAGCCGTACAATCAAATCAGCCTTCATAAAAATATATTGAAAATGGGCAAAAATATTGAAGCAGCAGCATTTTTATCTGACTGAACATAAATTGCAAATGAAAGCAAAATGAAAACAAATGATAAAAGTCAAGTGCGAAAACCAAATATTATTTGAAAATGCAACTGAACAGAAGAGCATAAATAGCTTAACTAAAATGCAAGAAACAACAGAAAATGATCGATATCTTTTTTAACCATTTGACGCATCTACCATTTATGGGTTTAAGCGAATTTAATTAAAAACCATAAATACGAACACGAAAATATTTTCGTTTTTATTTGTGCAATCAGACCGAAAACACAGCAGTTTATGCAGTTTACCAGCCATAACAAGCACTAGAGCGTAGTCAGCACGGCTTGAGGTCGTTTAAACGGACGCAATTCCAATGTGTGGACACAAAGAGTTTTGGGTCCAACGTTCCTGTCTGTCAACCTCCCGTTGCGATGCCACGCGGTTTGTTTGTCTCTCATGAACTTTTAATAAAAAACAAAATTCAATGGCTTCAACTGTGGGTGGTAACAGCTGAGACACGCCCACCGTTGACCAATGCTGCTCATAGGAGGAATCCCCAAAGACAAGGCAAATATGACAAGTATAAACATGAAACATTGGCAAAATAAATCGAGAAAAAAGTGCTATCTTCGGCACACCGCAGATTTAATACCCAACCTTTTCGTAATAATCATAAGTATCTAAGAAGCACAGAGAAAATAGTTAATGCCAATGTATGGTTGAGATATCTAGAAAAAAAAGTTTTATCATACAAGAACGTTATTTTCGAACGATCGTTCCTATGGCAGGCTTTGGTATAGTGATCCGATGTAAACAAAATTTTGCAAAAATATAAGGAGCATAGTGAAACTTATAAATGCCGAGTTTATCCGAGATATCTTGGAAAACAAAAAAAAAAAAGTTTTCAATAAAACAACTCAAATTTCGACCGATCCTTTTCATGACAGCTATATGATATAGGGGTCCGATGTTGATGGGATGTGGATAAACAAAAAAGTGTTTCATACAATAACCTAATTTGCGACCGATAGTTCCTATGGCAGCTTGATGATACAGTAGTCCGATCCAGCCCGCTCCGACACAGAAAGAGGGACTTATGCAAAGCTATATGACGATAGCTTTAAAACTGAGAGATTAAATCACAGAGAAACAGACAGACGGACAGACTGACATGGCTATATCGACTCGGCTGTTACTGATACTGATCAAGAATAAATATACTTTATAGGGTCGGAGATGTCTTCTTTTATGGGTTACACATTTCGAGACAAAATAATAATACCCTCAGCAAGGGTATAAAAATAACCGCACACAGAAATTTCAAAGCAGAACTGTTAATGAAGAAAAAAGCTAAGAGTAAAAGATTTTGTGACAAAAATAAATAAAACTGGGAATAACCCGCGGCTTAAAAAGTAATATAAAGATCATGCGTTGGTTGCAGCAAAAAAAAACAGAAGATAACTTAGAAATATTTTGCATAATAATAAACTAAGTATTGCCCGGATTTGAATGAGAAATGTGTTTCTTATTAAATTCTAAATAACAGCTAATATTCTTTTTGTGGGTGGACTTTCGTTGTGAATATTTTCTGTACATTTTTTTAGAGTTTTAGAATAGGTTTCAAGTAGGTTAAACGTACAACCGTATGCCTTCACTTTCCATTTAGAGAGCTCAGTGGATCTTAAGGCTATTAATCTTAACAAAGATATTTAAAACTAATATTGAATGTTTCGTACAACTTTTCTTGAACATTCTCCGCACTTGATGCACGCATTTTTCAATCCCAAATGTGGACTTACATCACAGCTATTAAGGTGTGAGCTGTGCCTTGATCATCAACCAGTCAGTCAATCAATCAGTGCAAACAGCCTTATGCATATGGGAAAATGTTTTTAATTTCTTTTTGAGAGAGTCGAAATACCAAAAGAATTCACATTTAAAGAACTCCAACAAGACTCACACACACACACACACACACTGAGTAAAAATCTCATTTTCAGCACAATTTTCACATTGCAACACAAATTAATTTCCTTTGAGAATTGCCTTTTGCGCAACTTTATCGAGTTGTCCTAGCCAAACAGTTGCAGTAGCTGCCACTGCTGCTGCAGTAACGTTTATGTATATTGTTGCAGTAGCTGGTTCTGGACGCCCATTCCCCCCCTCCCTCTGACCCTTAGATAACCAACCCAGAGGTCCAAGTATTAAATGTCAGTTTACAGTTTAAATGTCCAGAAAATTATCAACTTTAACATTTTGCAGCAGTTACTTTCAACTTATAATGAAGTCCACCAGGACATGCTATGTCTTTGTGTGTGTGCGCGTGTGTGTGTCCTCTTTTTCAGTTATTTTAATGCAATTAGCTTAAATATTGCCTGCAAATAAAAAATCGAATTTGTGCTTGACAAGCTCTCTTTGTGGACGCTGCCAGGCAAAACTTTTAATTAGCCGCCAGTTAACATCGCGCATACGCAGCGTTGTTGTACCCCAACGAGTTAATGCGAATTTTGCTGCAAGGCACTCGAATGTCTCTGAGCATACTCAAAACATATTCATAACATGCATTTTTAAATATGCATTACATTTTTCAATACACTTTCTCTGACAGCTGGGCACTCACCTGTAGGCATTTCTGTTGTGTTTTTTGTCGATTTCCATTAAATTGTTTCGAGAAGTCTGTAATGAGATTGAAAGATAGGGAATAATATAATTTATTTATTTACTCTTTGTAGGAAAGTTACGAAAAGTCAAAGGTCAATAGAAAAAACATTTCTCTATTTAAATAATAAAACAAATATTAACAGTAATATACATATTTAACTATACTATAGGAAACGTAATGATATAATACAAGTTAATTATTATTTATAATATTAATTAATACAGTATATTATTAAATAATTAATAAATACGTAAATAATATAGCATTTATTGAGTCTTTAGTGCCCTTAATTATATGACCTATTCGTAAAATTAATTAAAAAAAAATTAATATATTAATTAATAGGTAGATATCCTATTAAGGAATCTCCATCTAAGAATCTCAGTATTGACAATAAGGAGAAATAAATAAATAAATTGGTTAATATCCTCTTCTATAAATAAATAATTCCCTTTATAAAAAAAAATTAAGAGAAACAACTAGTTAAATTAATAGATGAATATCCTCTAATATTTAGTTAAACCCTCTTGCAACTATATTATATGCATTTAGAGGGCGTTTGTACTTCGTTGTGTTACATTTGGCCAATTCTCTTATAGTTGTTTTTTGTTATATCATTAACATGTGCATAATTATATGCAACCAGATGCCAAGTGGCTTGTCGGCGGTACAAAGACAATCTGTGAGTCGTTTCCTGTTGGCCCCATTTATTGTTGTTGTTGTTTGTTGTTTGTTTGTTGTTTGTGTTGTTGTTGTTACTGGTGCTGCTTACAAGTTCAACTCCTGTAAATATGCTACGTGCACACACACTCGCACTTACAGAGACAGACAAAAGTTGGTCTGGCTCTGAGTCCGTATTCTGCCGACAAAATCATACATAAATATTGTTTTTATATGTTTATGTATGCGTGTGTGAGTGTGTGTATTGCCATTTAGATTTCGCCGCGCTGCTGTTGCTTTAGTTGGTAATTATGAAAGTTTTTGTGCATGCTACACAGATTTAAACAGGTTGCCCCAGGCAATTTTAAGACAGGTACATAAAGATATGAATATTATGACCATTAAATATTTTAATTAAATTAATTAGTGTTAACTTTAAATATTATATTTCAGACTTTAGTTAATAAAGGGAATAAATGCAACAAATTATAAATATTTTGATAACATAGTACAAATATTTGTTGAATTTAACGAACAGGAAGTTCTCTATAAAAGCTTTAGATAGAAAGCTTTCAAAACCATGTCACTAAGAAAGCTTTGTTCAATGCTAAAAGCTGTGCTGTTTGAGCTTTGAAAGCGAGGACAAATTATTTGTATACCCTTTCTTGAGAAATATATACGCCATGTTCAATGCACTTTGCTACTATGGAACTTTTTATATATACACTTTTCCTGCTACTTTGGTTTATTTGCACATAGACATCAATAAAAAGCTTTAATATATGTAAGTCATAATTGATATTATAGAAATCCTATTGAACAACGATAATTACCATTTGGCAAAGGCCGGGAAACTAAGTCAGAGGCGATATGACTTAAACATTTTCTCAAAAAATACAAAAAAAGGTTTCCAAGTCGTATTTGCATTTATGAAAATCGCATAGAAAGGCGATCGACAGCAAAACATTAAAAGCCGTTTGTACACAGATTCGTAGTCAGTAAAACTTAGTCATTAATTTTTGAATGCCAATATTTAAATGCATTCTTCACGAAGTATTTATTCCTCTAAGAAGCAATGAAAATATTGAAAAATCACCTAAATAATGCAAATCGACGAAAAATACATGAAAAATACCAGAGAGTAGCCACTTGGAAAGAACTCGCCAGCCAACTGACAGTTCTCGGCTGATCGTTGGCGTTATTTGGTCTGTTGGCTCGGCGTATTCGCGTTCTCCCAACCGCCGTGCAACGCGCCCGTGTGTGTTCAGATTTATTTTTAAGCTACACACACAAATTATATTCTCTGTGCGGGTGAAGTGAAAAGAAAAAAAATTATATTATTAACACTGCACGGGATTTTCCAAATCAAATTTTAGTCATTTTACGAAGAAAATTAAACGGAAATTGTAAAGTAATTGCACTAAAGTGTTACAAAAGATAAATTCTCCAAAAGTTGCAAGTGTTTCATAAAGAAATTATGCATATACATATGTATATGCAGATATAGTATATTTATATATACTAAGTGTGCAGTGCGCTGTCACATATATGCTTGACCATATTAAAAATAATTTGGCAAGCAAAAAAAATACAAGAAATAAATATTAATATTTAGTTTGGTAAAATTTTAAACAAACTTGTTGTTCTTTTCGGTTTAATATAGAGTCAGAAAGGCGAATTTTCTTAGCTCTAGAAAAGAAAATACAAAATTAAAGAAGAATTCGTAGAGTTAAAAATATCAACGCCACGTATGCTGTGCCCCTGCCTTTGGCTCGGACTTTTACGTACGTCGGACACAAAAAAAAATTGTGCTGCCTGTATTTCTTTTGTTGTTTTATTGTTGCCACGAGGGAACGAATTGATATCTTGTAAGTAAAATGTAGAACAAGCCAACGCAATGTACTATATCTATTATACGTATATATATATATAATTTCTATTCCTATGCAATGGTGTATGGGGGCGCTACATCTGTTAGAGCTCATATTTGGCTAAATAGTTTTGAGTGTTTCGCGCTTGCATTGCATTTATGAGTTTCTTTATTTATTTATTTGTGTGTGTTTTTTTTTTTTGAGGCATTTCTTAATAGTTTTGGGCTAAAGGCAATTCAATTAAGCTAAATTTAATTTCATTGTCTGCTGGCTACTAAAAATTGGGGCTAACAACAATAACATGAGCAACATCAACAACAAGACGATCGCATCGACAGATCCAACTACGTGTGCTTGATCTAAATATAGAAGTGCGGGCAAGGAAAGCAGCATCATGCCCAAGCAAACCAAATGACCGACGAACCAGCCTCCCCACTAATGCCGGCCCCAGCAACAATGCCCCGATGCCCCAATGCCCCTCCCCCGCCCCTTGCTCCCCTTTTGCGCAGCGTTGCCCACAATTTGGCAGCTCTGGCGTTTTTCTGTTGTTTTCAATAATATTTAGCAACACATTTTTCATTCAAACAACCGAAGCGTTGCTCGTCTTTTATTCATTTCTTTTCTTATATAGTTACTAAGCCGACATGCCGCTAAATCAAATCGGTGTTCGCATTCTATATAGCCATATAAATTTTAATATACAACCTATAACTGGCCATGTGGCCTTCAAAATTGATCAAAGTTTTATTCTTGAGTTATTCAACTTGAAATTATTGCGAATATTTTTTGATGAACAATCAAAAACTATTTTTATGAGTTGTTACAAAAATGAAGCAGCTGAAGATCGTACGTTCTATACGAAAGTGAAGCAGAAATATGTAGATTATTAATGTTTGCTTCAAAAATTATGTTTCAAATGTGTTTAAGATCTGTGCCTTAGTGATATTTATCGATGTTATATTATTTATTAAGGTATTATAAGTTTGAAATCGGCATAGTTTATAGATCGGCCATAATATATATGTACTTACTTAGTACGCCTGCAAACCAATTGTGAGTCACACCAATTCAAACCCGATATTTAAATTTGTTTTTGATATAAATCGTTAAGACACGAGCATACCATTAAAAAAAGAAAACTACACCGCACCTAAAAACAATTGTTTGGGCTTAAAATACAAGCCTTTCTTCGGGACATACAGAACCGAAGCCTCGATAGATCGGGCTCCAGAAAACGTTTTTATTTAACTATATTTGGCAGTTGCCTTTTTAGGTTAGAGATTTTATTTAATTCTTGTATGTGAGTATCCTACAATATCTTCAGTGTAATCAGCAAGTAGACATTGAAGCTGAACTTATGACAATTTAAAAAAAATAAAACGAACGAAGATATAAAAAACACCAGGCTTATTAACCAAAGCTAAAGGCAGGAAGTTGGTTCGAACTGTAAACAAAACTATCCATAATTTACCAGCTATTCACCTGAGCTCCTAATAACTCTGGGTCGTGTGGTATTAACCATAGACAAGCCGGACATCGAACCCGATAACTTACCTTTTAATATTTTCAAAAGCATATTATATATGAATGTAGAATCATTATGTCAATATGAAAGACTGAGTGAGTTTTTACTGGTATATGTAGGGTATCTCAAAGACATTACCGCCTGTCGCACTCTATATAATAATTTATAAAACAAATTCCTAGGCAATTACCCACAAGCCAAATGATCATATTAATAGCTGTACGAAAATTGAAACGCTTTTGACAATTTGTGAACATTTGTTTTCATTTTTCACAACAATAAAGGAAAAAAAGAGGCTGACCCACAACTAATTTCCAGCCGGATGTCGCTCATTAGCAAATTGTAGAGAACTCGCAAAGTGTAAAAAAAACACGAGCAAAATTCTAAGTTTCTTGATTTATTTGTCAGTGTCAAGAAAATTGTGGCGATGAGTCAGCTGTACGAAGCCAACGAGAAAATAGCAGAAGAAAATCAAAGAAAATTTGTTCGAGCCCGTAAAAGTTCAAACTGAATTTGACAAGCAATTCTGAGTGCTCTCTCTTGCGCTCTTTCAATTTACGCTCAATCTTTCGCGCCCTCTCTCTCTCTCTCTTCTTCGCACTCACTCTCCGCAACTGTCAAAATGTGACACAAAGCTGTCGGCGCATGCGTCGTTTACGAACAGCTGTGCGATGAGAACTTGACAACAAATGTGAGTGCGAGCGAGAGCTAACTAGTTTGTCAGTTCAAATAAGAGATAGATATAAAATATACATAAAAGTCTGAATAAAAGTGTTTGAGAACGTATATGAAACGAAATAAACGTGAAAAGGTGTGGTTGTATTTTATATTTTTGAATTTGTTTGTAAACAAAGCTCATTGTTATGATCGAGAATTGGATTCTTTCGTTTTCTTTTATGATTTCTCGCCTCAATTATTTAAGAAAACTTGCAAAGCCATAAAGAATCGAAACCCTAAT